GATACATGTACTCCGAAGACGACAGGGCAAGTGTGCCTTGGCATGGCACTAAGGCCAGCCCAAGTGTTCAAGGGCCAGACGGATCCTACTGTTGCAACCAAACGTCATGCATAACCAAAGTATTTTAACATAGACAAAGCACTACATTAACAAGTTTCAGTTGTTTATATTGTGCTTTTAAGATGGCGTTTCAATATCATCTATAGCACTGTGCGGAGGATACGTCTTCCCTTTATGTGTGACTGCTAGCTAGACCTTGGAAGAAAACGTTGTCATGAATACTGCTCTGCTATTTGTCTTCTTAGACAATTATTTATTTAATTGCAGCAACGAATCGATTTCATATGCATTGATGTTTGTTACAATTAGTCTTAGTGTTAAATAATCGGCTTAATAAAATTTTTGAAAATTGACTGTAATTTAAATGCCTTTTTTTGCGTACGCTTAAACCAATTCGCTTACTTCTTATAACGATTTACACACAAGTGCAATATTCCAAAACGGCTTTCCACTTTTCTTGGTTATGCTGTGAAGGATGTTTGGCGTGTTTAAAGTCGGCTTGGGGCGTTCTTTTTTTATTCCACAAATGAGGTTGCTTGCAGCATGGACCTCAAGCTCATCTGACTTGGTAATTTAGACTTTTCTGCTTAAATTACCTCCAGCCTATTGATATGCCAAATCCATACAAACCGAGGCCTCGTTACTGCTTCTTGTGTCGAAATAATCTGGAGATTGACTATAAGGTACAGCATTCTCTTCCTGGCAGCATTTAAGAATGTGCAATTCTTATCCCAATTCGTTTCCTCGTATACTGGTCGGGTTTATGGCCGTCACATAACTGGTCTCTGTATTCCCATGCAGAAGCGTATTGCAGCGTTGATAGAAAGAGCTCGCAAGTTTGGTAAGGGGTCGCATATTTATCGGCATTCATAAGGTTTCATGGCCAACGAGTCAAAGGAGACGGTGTTCTTCAATGATCCCTCCATTCTTGCACATAAGCGGGTATAGGTTCTCTCGCTCTTTCACTGTACCCTCTGGTTATTTTCATGGACTCGACATTTGCAAACCTCTACAATAATCATTGTTACATCTTAAAGGGAACTATAGCTCTTGCACTCAGGGATGCTTAACCGTCCTGGCTGCTAGTATAACCCAATGGACATCTAGCATTTTGGGTTCATAGGTAGTGTAGCCATTTTCCTCTTCTCATGGGGCCGATCTAATTAGGCAAGGATACGACTACCACAGTTGTTTGTTGATTGTTAAATGTTGAGGAATAACTTCGTGATGAGCGTTACTGAGTTCTGTTCCTATCCTCGGACGGAAGGTAGTGATCGCTGCACCACAAAGAAGTCTAGTGGATGATTTGTCATTGCGTCGGTGTGGGAGAGGACAGCATAAGGAGGGGGCGCTGTCTTGAGGTACTTAACGGTCCGGGTCAAGTAATTGCATGATGTCTCTTCAGGGACGTTGGCACACACTGTGCTATCACCCATATGCAAAAGCTGTTTTCGACGATGTACTCCTAAAGTTTGACGTGAATTGTAGCTAAAATGGTAATTGTGATTCTTATAAGCATAGTAGCTGCCATCCAGTGACATTTTTTGATAAATTTGCCTCAAAGAAAAAGCGTTGGAACAACTTGTGTGGGTCGCTCGCTGCTTCTAGCTGTTTCGTGTGAAGGCAATCCAGTCGACGACTGGTAAGTCTGCTGATTTTCAACAATTACTATGCCTTAGGAGGGTCAAATGCTAAGTTGTGATGTCTCCCTTTCAAAGAAAGTGAAATAAACCCTGCACAGGTCGCTGTTATTTGTTCGCTTCGGTTTTGTGTGCACCATTTCTCCACCGGCCTCTAATGATCACGCCTATACTTGGTGTGAGTGTTCTACTCGCTCACCCATTCCAGTAAGAGGTAGTATCAAACTTGGAAGTGCTCCATTCTGCACTTGGAGACGAACGCATCGACACTGTTATCGCTTAGGCGGCTGGACGCCTACCCCAAAAACCTTTAGTAAACACAATCATTAGATATCTGGAAAAAGGCGATGTGCATGAATAGTCAACAGTGCCTTTGTTCACATGGTCTAGCTCTTGGGCCGAGTCAAAATTTTGTCCCTTCCCTTTAGCCTTGGGCATGTGCACTCGGCCCTACTCTCTGTCGCCTTCCACCATGTGGGAAGTTTTGGAACGTTACAGCTATCAGCAATGATCGATGATCGGTCAATCTTCTTAATCGCCTTCAACCACGTTGGAGTCTGATGATCTGTCTGCACTACCATTTGTTTGCCCATCAGGTAGTGTTTCAAGCGCCTCACCGTTGTATAGATGGCAAACAGTTTCCGTTCTGTTGAGATCGTCCATCTCATGTGTTTTGTTTGACCGCAAGGTGGATTGGCCATTAGTCTCGAAGTTGGGTAGAGGTAGTAGCGGTTCCGCACAGAGGGCGCGCTTCCGTTTCTTAAACGTCTTGTGTTCAGTCTCGCATCGGGATTCTGTTTTCACTTGCTCCTCCGTTAACTTATGTAGCGGACCAGCGATTTTTCGTTTATGGGCATCGGTCAAGTTCTCACTCGTTTCATTTGGTCTTCTGGGACCGCCATTCCGACAGTTGAGGTCGTGTGTCTTAATCCGTATCACCCCTCTTGCCGTTTTGTTGAGTCGAAAGTATACCGTTCGCAAAATCCATGACCACTTGAGTCTGGCGTAGAAAGCCGTGGAGAGCCCATTTGTAACACTCATGAGGACTTCTTCTTTTATTGAAATCTCTTCTCCCCTTGTGGAGCGTAATCATGGGGTCGAAGGGGAGATCTGTATTCTGTTGCAATTCGTAACAAAGTCCATAAGAAAATTGCATGGACACTCTTCAACCTTGCTCGCCGCCCCCCCGGAACACATGAGTCCCGTAAGGAAATAGTTACGAAAACTTAACCACTCGGGTGAGAGCGTCGTTGTCCAGAGGAGTTTGGCCATCGGTTAACGTCCGAAGAGAATGAGGATGTCCAAAGCTACGGATCTTGCCATATGGCGACCGCCATGTCGATGAGACGACTTAGACTGCAAATCATCTTACGAATGAGCTGTTCTGCCAAAATGAGGGCGGGACAGAAGGGACTGAGGGAGTGAGGAAGGGGGTTGAATATTCTTATGAACAAGGTAGCCACTCATGCGACGACAGTAAGGACAGCAGCTCATAAAACACGTTCCACTAGAAGTTGAAAATTCCTCACCAACTCCTCGTCGCTCTCCTTTGAGGCTAGGCTTTGTTCTTTTTGCGCGAAAGCCAACTCCAGGTCCATGGCCTCTGCCTTCGCGGGAGGGAAATTGCTTCAGGGACTAGAGACTAAAAGGATGAACAGTTGCAGGTGGATAGACGTCCGCACTAGTCATAGAACTGTTTCTCGCGCTCCATAAGTACAGCGTTCGAGTTGGTCTACCATCTCACTCCTATCAATATTCACAGGTGATGTTTTGTGGAGGCATGTGTTTTATCCATGTAATATATTCTAGTCGTTTAAGTGGACCTTTATAGGTGAGAGGCGGAAACCAATTGGAAGCGTGGATCACGTGCGCGAGGTCGACGAGGAGCCTCCCTGCGATTGACACCTCCTGTTCATCACATCTGTATCTTATTATAGAGATGCCTAATAAATCGTCTACAACCAACTTCCCCTTAAAGCCTGAGAACCAGGGA